TGCCAGCTGCCGAGGAGGGTTTGAAGGCGGTCCAAAATGCCTCACGTTGCCTTCGGAAGCCCATAAGAAGAGAGGAGGCAGGCTTCGGACAGGCCACAGAGAGGCCGCAACAGGCCTGCCAGCTGCCGAGGAGGGTTTGAAGGCGGTCCAAAATGCCTAACGTCGCCTTCGGAAGCCCATAAGAAGAGAGGAGGCAGGCTTCGGACAGGCCACAGAGAGGCCGCAACAGGCCTGCCGAGAGAGGAGGCAGGCCTCGGACAGGCCACAGAGAGGCCGCAGCAGGCCTGCCAGCTGGCGAGGCCTCGGACAGGCCTTTGGAAGTGCTTGGAAGGGTTCTGCTAGGCTTGGCCAGCTGCTTCACACTGCGGTGTCCCAGGCGCCTCCCCGCCTAGGCTTTGGCTATAGGCCGGGGTCGGCGGATTATTAGTCTATTAGGCACAGTACTAGTAAACACGATCGAAGGTATTAGGACGCAGGATAGCTCACGCTTCAAGGAAGCTCCCCCCGCCCTTGAAGAAGTGTTCGCCTATTCATTTGGTTCCTAGAGCTTTTGGATGATAATTTCGTTTCTTTTAAGAAAAGAACCACGGCCACGTGACAGTTCACATGAGGAACACATGCTCTTAGATTCAGACCCTCACCTGGTTTGCCTAGCGTAGCTTTTCTCTACAAACATGATCCTTATCCTTATGCGGGAATTTGGTGCTGGCCACGTCTTTGGAAAACGATAGCTTTAAGCGCACATGACGGTCCGCTCCCTGACCGACGTAAGATCATGTAAGCTAGTTCATATTGAAGATCATCAAAGCTCCAGCATACCTCTTCAATATCTGAGCCCGAACACCAATTCTCACAGATTTTGCAGTTGATATCCCGGCACGTGAGAGATGAGTTCTGAGTATCACTGAAGTCAGCAGGCGCCAGACTCTAGTTGGAAAGCTCTTTTACGGAAAACTGTCACCTTTGTTTGAGGTTATTTTTCGTTTATTCAATTCAATGTAATTATTAATTATATATTATATAGCTGAGCAGCCAGTCAGTTGATCACTACCCTGAACAAAGTAACAAACACCATTTAAATTTCACAAATAGTTCAATCTATGGGTTCAATTATTACTCTTGTTCAACAACTTGGTTTCAGTATTTAGCAACTCAAAGATCACTTGAATTATTTGGTTTGCTTCGAATAATCTAGACTTTTGTGCGTTTATTTTTTGTTTGACTCATTCTCACCACCAAGGTATAGCTTGCAGCGGAGATTGAGGAGTTCCTGCATCCCAAGATCCTTGCAGCCCGACACCTGCTTGCAACTGGTGCAACCACTTGCGCTTGAATGCAGATGTAGGCTCAGCACTTTAAGAGATGGGATGCAACTTGCTTTGCTCCGGGTCTTTCGCCAAGCATGAGGAGAAGAAACCCTTCATGGCCTTCTCTGGATCTGGCCTTCTCCTAGGCTATTTTCATGGCATCGCCGCTTGGCAAGGCTCCCTTGAAAACCGCGCGCAAGTGCTTCTCAGTGTCAGACATGGTATGAAACACGTGGCACATGGCACATGTTGACCACTCCCACGTGGCACACGTTGATGCCCAAGGACCAAACAAACGAACGATCATGATCATTTTTTTTTTCGCGAGGTTTGCTGTTTTATTGAAACTAGATTTTCTTTGCCCTTGACCAGTAGCTGCTTCTATCCGCTCTTGTGCCGAGGTCACATACATACGAGACCATTTCTATGTTGAGAACCTGCAGCTCTCGGGAATCAGTGGAGGTTCCTGGTGGAAACTATCTATATATAGGCTGATGATTGCGAATCACCAAATTAAATGCATTGAAGTGAGATCTTTGACTTGACCTCCCAGGCTGCTCAACAATTCTTGCACTCGCCATGGGCATTGATTTGTATCAGATCCTTCTGTTGCTTTGCATTGATTTCATTAAATGACAAAAACTAGTAGTAGTAGTAGTAGTCGTCGTATCTTGTAGTAAGATGCATGCTAATTTGTGAAGCTTGACAATGACATCTGATGGATTGCTGTAAGAAGTGTCCCGCCCAAACCCTTGAACCATGATTGCTGCTGGTCAGCATGCTCAGAAGTCATTTCCAGATCCTGTCAGTATACAGTACCTTTTTTCAAGGCAGACTTCAATGCCGCTTGTTTGTGGTGGCAAACCTGTTCAACATTGAGGGTGAGCAAAGGAACTCGTTTCCAAAACAGCCAGACATGTCATTGCAATCTTGAGCGCTCAGGTTGGGCTTACACATGAAACAAATATTTTTGAAGAAGGGTATCTACTGGCATGACTTTGAGGTCCTCAACCAGCAAGAAGCAGTATGCCGAAAGCCGCGCAGCATCGTGCAGCCATTTTTACTTTGTGTGTTTTCTCTGGAGCAATCGAGGACATGGTGGAATTTACCATGCAACACTGGAAGCAGATTGGAATCTCAGATGAAGATGTGGCCGAGCTTGCTGCTAGAAAGCAGTGCCACATAGGCACAGCATGGCACGTTTATCAAGGGTTGAAGAGGAGTCCTCAGTCTGAAGCTTTGCAAAGATAGCATGAGAGGAGTTACAAAGTGCTTTCCACCTGGGCATTGCTGCATTGAAACTCCTCACACACTTCGGGACCTGGTGGCTTTGGTGCTCTCTTCGATGAGCGCACCTGAACTTAATTGGTTCTCCTTTACTGACAAATGTCTGAGCAAAGCAAGTCATTGATTTCCATGTTATGTCCCCTGCATCCTGTGAATATCTGTGTAGCATGTGTCAAACACAATTCCCAAGCCTGCCAGTTTGGCATGGGTGAAAACATGTGTCAGGTCGTGCCGTTCTTCCGCACACCTGGTATTTACGAAGGCACCTGGTTTGCACCTGTTTGATCTTTTTGGGCCTTCACCGGCAACGGTGATAGCATGTTTTTGCAAAATGCTTGTCCAATGATCCGCAGGAAAGTACTACATTGATGGTGGTTTCTCAGCAATGTACTCCGTTCCTCCTGGTCAACGGTGGGACGAGGCTTGCAGAAAACTGCTTCAGTTCTTGCTGCTTTGGATGCTCTTTGAGAAGTGAATCAAGATATTTCCAGATGGCTTTCAATCATTCTCCAGCATCACGACTGGAGGTCATCAAGGTCACTTGCTTCCCCTGGTGGGCCACATTGTTTCCTCCTGCACTGGGCATAGCTGATATTCAGCCTTATCGCTTCATGCCTACCGAAGTACGGTTCCCAGCTGATGGAACGAGAATGAAAGATCCTTTCTGAGCTGCTGAATTTTTAGGTCTTTTTGAAGCTTTGTCCTACCGCAGACGGGAAGGGTTTCCCTCACAATTGATTTTTCCTTCTTTGGAGAAGAGCAGCTAGCAGGTGTTTGTGCTTTACCCGTGGGAGCACCAACGAGAGCTGCAGCTTGGATCGTTCAGTTTCCATTCTTTTCCTTTGGTGCTAAAACAACCTAAAACGCTTCCAATTTCAAAGTAAGATATTCTGAACACTTTCCATTCCTAGTTCAGGATCAAGCAGGGCTACGAGGATGCCAAGCTTCAGCATGACCAGCTAGTTGCCAGAGGATTGCGCCCCTTGCCAAATGCACCCTTGACACCATGGCTGGGAACCCGGCAGGTTAGCTTCTAGCTTCCGGCATGGCCCGGAATGCGCCAACTCTTAGGTCTGAATGGGAAAGCCTCTTTGCGGGTATTGATGAAAACAATTTGCCGCCCTTGAGTTCACAGTGCCTGGGCCAGAATGGGGGGGACGATGTTTGTTTGTTTGTTTGATCATTGGAAGAAAAGCACAACGCGCTCGCACAGCTGTTGGACGCCGGCGTGTCTTGATGAGGCGCTCCACTGTGGTGGCATCGGAGATGGAGAAGCACCACTATGCCGCTTGTCTGAACAATCTAGAATTAGAACAGTTCACAAGCTTTTTGAATTCTATAGAGTACATCAGTTGCAGTCCCCGATTTTCGATTCCTCCGACGTCCGATTCCTCGCACACCCTGAAACGCTTTTGTGCTCTCAGGAAGTTCTTCGCACATTTTCGCAGTCCGACTTGCATGATGTCCTGAAGGGCCCCAGGCTACGACGCTTTGACTGTGCAGGCGCGCCTGTTTGAATTATTGAGACTTTTGATGCCATGTTCTCCATGTAATTCTTAGACTTCACCTCGGCGGGGATTGCGGGCCTACTCCAAAATACTTATCAAGCGGATTGCTAATCTTGGAGCCAGACGAATTCAGCTTGCATTTCCTGAATCTGAATCGTGCTAGGCTCTCGCAGTGAAGCAAATTGTGCAGAGCTATACAAGTCTGCCTCAATCATGTCGCGCGCGTGGAGATAAATCTCTCGCTGGCGGATTTCCAGGAAGACATCCTTTGAAGTGTCCTCCTCAGGAGCAAAAGACAATTTAACCATTTAGTGCAACAAAGTTCTGGCTTTCAAGGACAAAGCCAAGCTAGCCAAGCTGATCAGAATGACGCGCGTGAAAAGCGGTGCACAACAATCTTTTGGACTCATGACGCTGTGGAAACAACAGCATGCCTCCCACGAAACAACGACTGAAGCCGCGTTAACGACCTGTTTGCAGATACAACGACTTCAAGGCACTGCCAGAAAGTGCTAGAGCCTCAGGGCGCTGCCATCCTCCATGAACAAAGGGATTAGTTATAAATAAGTTATATATACAGATTGAAGATGTTTGAACAATCTGTTGTCCTCTATTTCTTTGCCGAAGTCAAGCAGTTGTTTGATGCTTGCTTGTTCTGGCAAAGCTTCCAATCACCTTCTTCGCTCGTCCTCCTAAGGTTTGCGAGCTCACATCGTTAACATCACTCGATGCCAGCTACTTCGAAAGCAGCAAGACAAGCAAGGCAATTCTTAGCCAAGCAGAGATCTACAGTATAAGACCCAGACAGATATCATGTGGGTGTGGACCAGGTTTTGACCTACCGCAGTGGAAATGTGGGAGAAAAACAATGACAGTAATGAAACAAACTATGTAATATTGTTCAAGTTGCCTTAGGCTTCAGCATCAGGAGCCAAGCAGTGCCCAACACCAATCTGCTGGCTTACTCAGGTGGTAATGAACTGCGATGGCTTCCAAGTGGAATAGGCTCAGAAGCTGAAGAACACTTGCACAGAAGGGAGGAGAATAATTCTCGCTTGGGTGCAGGAGAGCTCATTAATTTGAAAGACCTGGGCCTTGCGCAAAATCAGCTGTCTGAATTGCCACCCATATTTCGATTGTCAAGGACTAAGACAAAGACAAACAGGGGATGACAGGGGAACATAACTCAAGCAGTGGCCAAATTAACGATCCGTATACTTTATTCTTAAACCGGTGTCACATAGTGTCCCCTCCAATCTCCAAGGCAAAAGCTTCAAATCTTGGACCTGCAACACAACCCTGAGCTGACGTCTGTGTCAGAGAAGAGGCGCTTCTCGGGCCTGTGTCATTTCTACATGGTACTAAAACCGCTACTTCCGCGTGCAGCACGTTCTTCTTGGCAACCCCCATGACTTGAGTTGTTTGACAACGACACACAGACACACAAATCTTTGGCCAGATCACTATAGGTACCGTTTCTTTCTGCGGTTGGCACTAGCTCAGTCAGTCCTGCGTTTGGCTGAGTCTGGCAGAGGTCCAGGCCTGCTATTCTTGAGCGGCGAAATGCAGCTAGCCTCTGGTGTGATCTTCAGCCAAAGGACACACCAAGCAGTCACAGATGTGCAAGGCAGAGCTATCTTCAGCTGGCAACCATATCTTCTGAGGGTGTTGACATCCAAGGTTGGCTACACTTCTGAAGTTTGGTGAATTACGAGATCTTCGCATTCGTTCTGAGAAAGATGTAAAGACCTTAACAGAAACAGCATATGTCCTGCAGTCCATCTCTTCTGCATATTGGAATCACATGGTCTTTACTGCTTGCAGTCAGAGCATGTCATATCATGTTATCATATGAAACATCATGATGCACAATGATGTACAATGTAGGAGGTGCTTTGCCCAATGCTGAGGACGGATACAAGAAGGATTTGCTAAGGCAGCTGCAGTCTGATGAGCCCTGTTCTCAGAGTCCTGGGATGACAGGCATGTCCTAACTTTATGAAATTCAATCGGTCCGGCCATGGCGTCCAGTACATTTTTTCTGCGAACATGAGCATCCAGCACATTCCATTTGGCACTGGCACCAAGTGATTGAGTCAGCAGTTTCCGCTGTGCAGGCTAGATTTCTCTGATTTGCAACTACGGGCAATTCCTTCGAGTCTGGAGCACAATGACTCTTTCTCTTTTAAGCACGCGATTGTATAGTATAAATTATAGTACCAGTGCTTGATTTCTCAAGACCAATATCATCTTCCACCCGAAAGCACAACTACTACGAATGTCCAGCCTTGAGCCGGTGTAAGGTTTAAAGGGCCTTACCACCATGCGACAGTTGAAAGCAAAACGAAATGAGATTGAGGCACTGACGTGATGATTTGTCTCTTAAGCTTTGTCCGGCCGTCTTCCACAGCGAAGACTGCCAGGCGTTCCCAGCAGAGCTTTGCTCCTTGAAGAAGCTGTCGCACTCTCAGAGCCCTTGAAAGACACAGCTGTGCCACGTCCCAGTCGAGGCAATTCCTGGACCTGTACAGTAACAAATTGACAGGCCTGATCTGTTTATTTGAACAGGTTATACATATGATTATATATTGTTGTTATATATATAAATTGATTAAACTGATTCACCAGTTTCAAACTGAATTCTCAGAGGCTTGCCTTCCAACATCGGCAAATTGGAATGCCTCACAGAGTCGCTCACTTACAACGTTTCAGAAATGAAGAGTATAGTACACTGTTCAGCAACCACCCGAGGCTGGATCTCTCAAACAACTTGCTTGTGGAGCTTCCAGAGAGTGGCTCAGCTGCATTTCTACGTCCAAGCTGCGGGCAACTGTTGGATCCAAGTTCCTCTCCTTGTCCAGCTGTGATTGTAGTTCAATGCTCTACTAAGTTGATCCGATCAATAGGATTCAATAGGCATTAGAGGGGATGTTGAGGCAAGCTCCGAAATAAACACAAATTGTGGGAAGCTCAGGGACTTTCATTCTTATGGGTCCCATATGGTCCCATTCAATAGAAGTGGGATGCACTTCTCTATCTATTTTGGGGGCGTTGGAAAGAACGCATTACGACGCAAAAACCTTGCAGCACGCGACAGGTCTTGGAGATTTGACTCGCCTTGCAAGGCCTGGCGACCAGCGTCGTCTCAAGCAACGCCGATTTTCATCATGCCGACTCAACGCAGGTTGGAGGTTGGTCAGAACAAATTGCGTGAGACTCAGCTTCTGAATGTTGAACAGTTGGCTTTGGAGTTTCAGTGGTATCCGTGCTGGCTTAGGAGCAGCTTACCAAAGAGACTTAGCAAGTTGACTTGCTTGACAACATTGGGGCTCAGGACGAGTCGACAACCTTGTTCATGTCGAGTATCCCAAAAAAGAACAGCACAAGGGTCACCTGGTCAATTGCAGCAGAATACTTACAGTATCTAATCCAGGTAGTGGATGGTAGTAGGGCAAGGGCAAGGTACTTTTTTTGCGCGAATCTTTTCAGACTATTTTTTGGAAGAGCTTTGTGATCCGTTGGTTGCCTGAGGTACACACTGGCAAATGCTTGGAAAGTCGTTTCCTACCAAGATGCCAACAACATTTTCCAGAAACTCACTTGGTCCCCAGGAAAATATTTTTCCTACTGTGTGACATGGAGGCTGAATAATCCAGAATGATTCCGGGGTTGGTGGGGACCGTCGGGAGGGGGGCACCTGAAAAGATATTGACAAACCTAACTGTTCTCTCGAAGCTGTAGGACAAATCTCATCAATGATTTGCCAGACAAACTGGATGAACTGCAAGTGCTCAAGACTCTCGATCTCAGCCCGCTACCTTCTGTTTCTTTGTTGAGCTTTCTTTGTTTCTCGCAACATTTACTTTGCATCACTTGTTCCTTCAATCTTTGGACCATCCCTTGACTCACATCCAGTTCTTAGGCGGAACTCCTCTTGGAAAGTCACTTCAATTGCCCCAGCGACTTGGCCGATTCAAATTGAGACCGATTTTGATGAAAGCAATTCAGCATTTCAGGCACGGACACTGTCCACTAAGACGAACGTTGGGAACCCAACTTGGATGTTTGATTTGCCAAATCTTCTTGCCGAAGCAATGATGTATCGACAGGCTGTATCTTATGAACAAGTATGACGCCTTGCGGGTGATCAAGCTTCATAGGTCACAGCTACATCCTGAGAGCTGTCTGAGTGATTCTGTGATATTCTGTGCCCGCCACTCTTGGGTGGGAACAATGGTACTCGTAGCAGGACTAGTCGTAGAAGGCAACTCCGCAGCAACACTAAGAAGGGCAGAATGAAGGGCAAAGTCGCAAAGTTTGGTAGTAGGTTCATGTAGGTTCTAAAGACAGCAAAACACCCTCCATGACCTATCAACGGCTGTAAGCTTGAACCACGCAGTTTCCAGGATGAGTGCTCTACCAGATGATCTGGCTTCGTGGGGGCAAGGAGACCGCAGCTTCGTGGGGACTTGAAGACCGAGAGTCAACCAGGATCAACAAGGTGCTTTTCTGCAACATACAATGAACACAAATAGTCAAGCCATCGCACTGCTTGTCCTGCGCAGGCACTTCCTTCATGCAACCGAATTATATAAGCTGAACTTATGCAACACCTGCCATATCATCGTTGATGCACTGGCTGGTAGCTCGTCCCTCCAACTTTTTGTGTTCCAGCTACTTGGTGCCAGGACCTCCGCCAAAGCCACCTCCAGCTAACTCTGTTGGCTCTTCAGAGTGCTTCTCAAGCAAGCGACTGGCGTTTTTGGCTATCGAAGCTTCTTCTAGCGAATGCCGTCGAATTTAAAAGCCGGCAGACAGCAGCTTTGACGGCAAGTCCGCTTCAGAATGAATTCCTGAGGCACGTTTCAGTCGAACGGACTTTTCAAAAGGCAGTGGGACGGACAAGGTCTGCAGTCTGCACTGAGTCAGACGTTTGCAACAAGTGGTCTACCAGCAGCACCATGATGCTCCAGGAACCTTCTGGCTACAACCGCTTTTTCGGTGCTACATTTGGAGAAGATGAGGCCAACTTACGACCTCAGATCAATTGTATAATGTATAGTGACGCAGATTGCTTTCTCACTGATTCTCACAGGACATCCCCTGCTTTGCCAAGAGGCGCTCAGCCCGAGAGGAGGCAGATGTCCTTGCTTGCGAATATGTCCCTAGTTTTCCCTCAAAACCAAGAAACCTTTTGCTTTGAATTAGTACGTAGCATCTACAAGCTGGGTGTAGGGAGACTTTTGCCAGCTTGAAAAACCAATCATTGATGCCCTTTGAAGTTTTGTGCTGCTTCAGGCTGGTGAGGACTCCAACCTGTTTGAGGCTGGTTGGGTATGCACACAGTTTGGTTTGAACGAGCAAATATGACCCGTATGACCATCCACAACAGAATCTATTCGAGTATATTGACGAATCCTGTGAGTCACGTGCACTGAATTTTGTCATTGCTAAGTTTTGACATGTTTTGCCAACCTTTCAACGTTGGATTAAAGTCGGGCGATCGTTTGAAGATGTTAATGTGAATTCCAGGTGACCACAGAACTGGCCGACATTGAAGATGGCCTTTGGAGATAATCCCCCAAGAATCCAACAAACAAGCAAGTTTCAAAAGCACATTGACCCAGATTTCCTTTTAGAACTGGATGGTTCGTGCTCCACAGTAAAGGAAGTCGACAATAATACTTATCGTTGCGATGCCCACCCTGAAGCCTGAAGCCTAGTTTATCCTGAAAGATGTTCGATGTTACAACGTTTGAAGTGCTTTTGTCACAGGTACTTGAGGCAATTGAAGGGCAGTGCGGCCCCAAGCAAGCTAAGCAGATCTTGCAAAAGTCAAGCCACTTTCACCAAGGTTGGACAGTAGTATTGAGCCTGCTCAACGCCAGAAGCTGTTGAGGACAACCAGCCATGCATCTCAAATCATTTCGTTGGGCTTTGTGCATGTCAAAGGACGCTATTTCGACAGTGGCATCCAGACAAACGAAGAGATGATCCGGAATTAGCAACTCGTGTGTGCTTGCCTCAATTGATTGGATTCATCGATATTGATCGATATTGTGTAGATTCTGTTTCCTCAGATTCCAATGGCTTCAAACTTTAAAATAGAAATCATATATCAATAAAATATATTAATATATATATAACTAAACTACAGAATATCGATGCTATAAATATTTATTATATATGATATTGATAATAGATATAGATTTATTTTTTTACGATATATCGATATATATATATTTTTTTTTTTAGAGGTTGTGGATAATTGAATTATTTTAAATAATTATATTCTATTTAAGAATTATATAATGAATTTTGATATATTTGGATTATTGATTTGATTTGATAATTATGATTATATTATTGAATATGGAATTTTCTTTGAATAGAATATTATATAATTCGATTTGAATTATTATTGTTGATTTATATATTTTATATTTTGAATTGGATATATTTAATTTTACAATAAAATACTATATAGAAATATAGGAATTTTAATATATATATAAAGAATTGATTTGATATTGAAATGGTTATGGATATTGAATTATTTGAATTGATTCGTTCGAAAATACCCTTGATATTTCGTAATATATTGAATATATTTATTATTATATATTTTGAAATGGCAAAGATATATATTTTACGATTTATTATATATAGGTTGGTCGTGAGGCTCTTTGGGTATATATTCGGAAAGATTATTAGGTTGATTATTTATCGATATTTTTTTTTGCACTTGAATATAATTAATTATCGGGAATTTGCATATAAATATTGTTACCATATTTTTACGATGGACTTTGCTTTAGAGATCCATTTTCGTATTATATCTCGTCTAATTTTGTTTTACCGATGGCTTTCGAATCGACATTACGATGCGGTCGTCCCATCGATCGAATTCTGTCTTGAGGTACTTGATAGCATATCGATTTAGCACTCCACTCCAATTGAAATTCCTTGTGGATTGATGCCACTCGAAATATAACTATTGATAGATGATTGCCAAATTTCATGGATTGCTGTGGACATCGGATTTGATATTCGTTCATTATTTAAATAAAACGACGTCCTTTGCACTAAAATTTCCATATTCGATGATACGTGATATCGGTCCGATGGAATATCTATATTTGTGAATTATCACCAACCTATTTCACGGCTAATTAGATCTTCTGATTCCTTGTTGATCTTGAGCATTTTGTTCTAGTGCATTGGGCATGGACCTTAATATACGGAATGGATTCAATATGTAATCCTGGTTGATATTTTGACCCATTTAGTTTCGGCTCTGTCGGCTGACTGGCATTTGTGGACCGACCATTTAACCTTGACACATAACGAACGACCTGGAGATGATGGTCGAACACCAATCGTACGCGGACTTGCTGACCGCCTGTGGCGAGCAATTCCGAAAACGATCCCGGACCAAATCCCCATCAGGTGAACGCAATCCCAATGGCCGGGCACAGCACAGGAACCACTCAGACTCCTGGGATTCTGGGTCGACCGGCTCTGGTCGCTCCACCGATTTGTTGAACATAATGGCCCGACTATGTCTTCGACACGAAGACCAGCTCAATATCGTGAACCTGGACAGATCCTTTCTCCTGTTTGCCCAATGTGGACGGGGCAATTTGATGCCATTGCTGTTGGAAAAATCTAGGCTTTGGAACCTTTCGAAGCAGACAGGAGAAATCACTCAATCTCTCAGGCAGACCCTTTCAGGCCTTCATCCAGGAATTGATCACGAGGGTGGGCAAGCTGCAACTGGATCGAAAAGACGACGAATTGGTGACCTCCCTGATCACGAAAGGAATGATCATACCGGATCTTCAATCGCAATTCTTGGCCTGGAATGCAAAAGCCACGATATTCAAACCCACCAAGCACGAGGCCATTAGCTCCAAGGAGATATTCCCCATCCTCCAGCGGATTCAGACCTTGAGCTCCAATCCTCATTTGGTGCATCGTTTTGCGGCTCTGAGACCCTTGAAGCAGGATGCCCTTCCGCAAGATGCAATGAAGGCCGTGCCATGGAAGCTCGAAATCTCGTTTCGATCCGGCGAGGCCAACGAGCTGCACAACCTTATCCAGCGCCTCGTAGGGAATGGAATCACATAATTTGCCTTGGTTCGCATCAGGCCAACTGGCCTCCAAAGGTCGCCACTTGCAGTGACCCTGTCACAACGGCTGAAAGGGTGATTCGCTGGCTCCGACAGACGAAGATGCATTCAAATGGTGCCACGTGTTACTTGAATAATGTGGTAGCTGTTCAGCTTTGGACTTTGGCCATGACGGTTAATTCTGTTCATGAAATGTGGGATGTATGGGCTCCGCTTTTGATACGCCTTTTTAGCTTTTCATATACAGAAACAATTGATCTTTACCGGGATGATTTCCTAGGACAGTTGTTGACCGAATGGTTCGCTTCGCACCCCGCCACTGCGCAACATGACGCAGGGGAATTTGCCGGATGGTTCAGGGGCATTCTGCTGGCAAAATAGACCGTTGCCTCCATGCCCCAAATCCATGGCTGGGAATCTCGTTTTGAGGCCAATATTGAAGACAGAGGTTGTTTGCATATACCCGTAGTTCTTAGGCATTTGCCACCGGATGCACAGACTCTTCAGGTTCTCATTGGAGCCTGGTATGACAATGCTCCGATCAGCCCCAATGTTTACCTCCAATTCGAGCGCTACCCAGCTCTCGAATATAAGAATACTCATGCAATTTCCTGGACTCACACCGAGGTCACCTTGCCACGCTTTCTGGATGCTGCAGCCACCACGCTGCTTTGGGAACCACAATGTAGAGAGAGGTTTGTTGCATAAAGGGAATGGCCCAATAGAAATCCGTTACAACAAAAATTTGGTGTTTTGTTTTTTCACGAAAAATAAGGATCCAACAAAAAATAAGATTAATCAATTATTATATAAATAATATAATAGATAATAAATGTAAAAAACAACCTTTCAATTCAATTCATTAAACAAAATTATAAAAATTATTTAAAATATATAAATATATAATAATAAATATATTAAAATATACGTCCATAAACGATTAAATTTCGATTATTTATAATACAATTAAATTTCTCGCAATCATTTTATATATATTTCGATTCCATAAATATATATAATTTCGAATTTTTGTAATTAAATATATTTTTTTCATAATAACTATATTTAATCGAAACGATTAAACATCGATATACAAATATTATTTCAATCATATTATTTTTAATTACCGAAATGCATTTTTCATAAATCATATAATCCTAATATAATCGTCGAATTCCGAAATATAAATCTATTTACCCCGCCTAAATATATAATTTTCGTCGTAAATACAATATTATTTTATATCCATTAAATAATACAAATTCTTTTTATAAAATGCTTCGGAATTAAGATAATTTCCGTGGACTAAAATACAATACAAAAAATATCTATTTTTTTGCCTTCTAAAAGATCAAAATATGTTAAAAATCCTAGGATTAAAATCGGGATATATATATAATATACAATTATAATTTGTACTAAAATTCTATCATTAATCCTAATTAATATATATTTGCAGATTCTTTTTTCTTTATAGGACCTTTCGATTATGGGATGGTAAAATATCCATCCACGCATTCATTCATTCACTCACTCGCTCGCCCACCCACCCGCCCGCCCACGCACCCACTCACTCACCCACTCACTCTAACACTCACACTAACCCTCATACTCACAGTCACACTCACCACCACCGCCATCATCACCACGATCTCCACCTTCATCACCTCTCTAGACCCCAATACATCTAAATCTCTAGACTTTTTACTTATAGACCTCACACATACTATTATAGAATCTCTTACCGGAATAACTAAATTTTTTTAATGAATTATAATTTAGATTTAAATAATATAATATTAATGTATATATTTTCATTATTTAATTCATAATTTGTAAATATTTTAGAAATATTAAATAGCAAATTTCTATTTATTAATTATTATTAAACATATTTATTTAAACAATATAAATTTAACAACAACCTAAATAAATAAAATAAATCGAAATATTTCGTATATATTAAAATCAATATTAATATATCTTACTCTAACAAATTTGTTCTTATATATCTTGATTTATTCGATTTGACTTATTTGATTGAGACCAGCATATTAATATCTAATATATCCTAATCTAATATAATTCCTTTTCTCCACATTGACGTGTAGGGTTTTGTTTTTAATATGGTATCCGCTCCTCCTTCGCTCCTCCTCCTCGCTCCGCACCTCCACCAATTGTCACTCACCAACCAATTGTCAGAGAGTGACTCAATAAATTAATCCAGTGGTTATATATATATATATGTGCATCCACTTCTCACTCAATTTCAGACCCCAATTAGGAAAACACGTTAATCTGGGGTGGGGTCTCCTCGCCTGCATGTAGCTCAGCTTCCATCGAAATAATTCTGGATTTCTCTCCTCATCCGACTCTACATTGTATTGTCTTCAAAGTTGAACACTTAATTGGAAACAATTTATCGATACCTCAGGGTGACCCCTGATTAATTTAGCTAGTGCAGCCACTATTATATATGTATATAATATATTTTCCTTTAAA